CTCCACAATCCTAGAATGATATTTCCTTCTCCAGGTCACCTAATGGCCCAAGATGGCTACTAGAACTCCAGCCATCCCATCCACATTCCAGCCAACACAAAAGAGAAAGAGAAAAAAGGGTAAGATCCTCCTTTAAAGCAGCCTTTCTAGAAGTCCCATTTAACACTTCTACTTATATCTCATTGTCCAGACTTAGAACTGTGGCCATATCTAGCACGAGAAGTTAGGAAATGTACATTTTCAGTGGAGTAGCAACACATCCAGTTAAAAATCAGAGTTTTGTTGTGTTACTGAACTTGGAAGCAGGGAGGGAGGAGTGGTAAGGACATTGGTAAAGACAACCAGCCACCTGCCAGAGACACCCAGCTGGGAAGTGATGGGGCCGAGATTCAAATCTAGCTAGTGGCCTCTCCATAGGTTACCCATCCCTTCCTCCTGAGCCATGCCTCTCTGACACCTTCCCCCAGACGTGAATGCCTGGGGGAGTAGCAGGGGACAGGAGCTCTGTGGCAGGGTGGGGGCAGAGGCAGCAGGGCTGTGAAGCTGGCTTCTCTGGGGAGTGCTCCTATTTTTCCATGGCACCTTCCCTCTCCCCACTCTAGAACCCAGAGCTTCCCTGAAACTCCAGGTTCTTTGTCACAGAGCTCACAGTGCAGTGGTGATGAGACGGGGGCATCTTTTCATGGGTCATTGACAGTTGAAGATTAGAAACATACTAGATTTGTGTTTCCTTCAGTTTTGCCACATTAAATAAACAATCACGTGCGGTCGCAGAAATTTCCTTACAGAAAACATTTCTTTACAGCAAAGTCTTCCAAAGGACAGGTCTGTGCCTTCAATGCAGGGCTGGGGCCATCTCTGAGGTCCCCGCTGATTCCAGGGCTCTGAACGGCTGCAGCTGGGGCATCAGCCCAGCGCGGGGTTTCAAGAGGGGAACAGCAACGGGGAAGAAGGTCCTTAGCAGAGAGGCCAAGCCGTCACCAGAGAAATCAGGCCAGAATTGTCAATGTTCACAGTGGAAACAGACCTAACGGGACTTGAAAAATAGAAGTTGACATTTGAAATCACCAAAGTCAACAGTCACTTTGCAGGAGAAGAATAGTGATAGGGAACCTCAACGAAGAGAAAGAGCCAGATGTTAGAGCCCAAAGCAAGTGCCCAGAGGCTGTCTCCGTGAGGTTCCGGAAGACAGAGCTCCAAATGTGCTCAGGGAAGCCTGAAGGTCTACACTTGTGCCAGCGTGGGAAACTCCAACAGTGAAGGACTGAAGAATGTGCTTTTGGACGGAGTCCCTGGCCTTGTCATCCCTCCTACCAGCAAACTCCTGGCACCCGTGAGTGGGCTGGGGACAAATTGACGCTAGAAACAGGTGTATAAAGGAGGGAACCTCCTAGAATGCATCAAGGAGGGGCCACCATTCTGCCCATTTCTGTGACTTTGTCTACCAGGAGTCACCTGTATTTTGAGAGATTCCAGGGTTTAAGATGATAGCCATTCCACACAGTGTGCTGTAATATCAATCAATCCTTACTATGTTGACACAGAGTCAGAGAACTGGGCTGTGGAAGGACCCCAGGAGTTACCTGGTCCAAATCTCTCATTTTCAGTGGGGGAAAAACAGTTGGGGGTGGCTTAAAACAACAGAAATTTAGTCTCTCACAGGTCTGAAGGTCAGACATCTGAAATCAACGTGTCGCCAGGGCTGGCTCCTTCTGGAAGCTCTCAGGGAGACTCCCCCATGCCATGCCTCTCTCCCAGCCTCTGGTGGCTGCCGGCACCCCTTGGCATTCCTTGTTTTGCAGACACATCACTCCAATCACCACCTCCCACACATAGCGTTCTCCTCTGTCAAATCTCCCTCTGCCTTTCTCTTAGAAAGGAACCTGTCACTGGATGTAGGGCCTGCCCAGGGAAGCCAGGGGCATCTCATCATGAGAGCCTGAAGCTAATTATATCTGCAAAAAGCCCTTTCCCAAACAGGGTCACGTTCATAGGTTGCAAGGGTTAAAACATGGACATGTCTTTTTAGGAGTCATTGTTCAACCCACTGCAGTGATCTTGGGATGGCCTTTCTCCTCTCTGACCATTAGTTTCCCCATTTGTAAAATAGTGAGGAAGGCAAGAGCTTGTTTACGTGCTGTGGTTTTACAAGTGTTGCCTTCATGGACACCAATGAGTCCCAACATCCAGGCATCAGCAGCTAGTGCCACGCTGCCCGTGGCCCCAAGCAGTTAGGCATAGAGCAAACTCAAATTCAAGAAACATTTCTCAACTCTCTAGAAATTCCTTTGACCAGAGACTTCTGAAAGCTGTTGGGGGAAGTTGGCTTGTGGTCACACCACAAATAGGAATGCTTTATTCAACTTTGAGCCCTACTTCTACGGGAGAGAATATTCAACGACAGCAAGTATAAGAAGAGGACAGGCTGAGTGTGGGGAGGGGCTGACAAATACAACCTATGCAGGCTAGAGCTGGAGTGAGGCAAATAAAACACTAACTTCAGGTGCAAAAATTAAGGAGGAGCCAAAATACCTCAGTAATCAAGATAAAACATATTTTAATGCCATATTTTTAAAAAATCAAAACTAATGCAAAAAAAAATTCATAATGAACAAAGTATCAAAATTTAAATAAAGATAGAATCCAACCCTGCACTTGCATGACTCACCTCATTTGCCTCACTCTAATCTTGGTCCGGTGGATCCTGTCTTTATATAAAATTTTGATAATTTGTTCATCATGGATTTTTTTGCACTAAATTTGATTTTTTTAAAAAATCACATTAACATAGTTTGTTTCATCTCGATTACTGAGGTTTTTGTCACTTCCTTACATTTCATACTTAGCTCTGGACTTGTGAGTTACAGCTGGAGGGACTGGGGCTGTTTAGCCTAAAGTAAGGGATGCCCCTGAGGATATGGTCACTGCCCCCACATCTCAGAGTGACTGTGTGGGTCAGGGGGGCCAAAAGGATCTGAGTGGCCCTAGAGGAACCTGAGGGGGTGGAAATTAAGGGGAAAAGAGTGAGTCCTCTGCTACAGGAAGATCTGAGAATGCGATGGGAGGCTAGACTAGATAATTTCTCGGAGCAACCCTAACACCCTGTGATTCCAACAGGCGGAGGGGCTGCAGATTTCCCTGCGTAACCCTGATCACCTTGTAACCGTGGGGAAACCTAAGAAATGTTGCCTCTTGCTTCAAAGACCATGGGCATAGGAATTGGGTCTTCTGGACTTTTAGAAACCACTGTGATTGATGGCCCTGCCACATCTTGGGGGACTCGTGTGGATTTTGCACCACTTTGGGGTGAAGTGAACAGCCTCAAGGTGTCCCATGCATGGGACAGCAATGGGGGAGAGGCCAGATCCCTTACCAGCCCCAAGCAAAAAAAAAAAAAAAATCAAAAAAGGAAGCAGTGATCTGTTGTTGATATAAATATCAAAACATTGCCTCCAAAATACACCACAAAAAATGATCTTTCTAAAATGCATTCCTGTGTCCTGCCCGCAGCCCCGCATGGCTCCCCCCAAATAAAATTAATGCTTCTTAGAGCAGCATTCGAGGGGGGCCCTTCTCTTGGCTCTCATCTCCACGTGGCTGTACAGATCTCACATCATTTAATCTTTGGTCTTTAAGCCTCTCTATTTAGTTATTGTACCATCTGCTTTCATGGATTTTTCTTCTTAGTTTTCGTGCTTTCCTCAAATTTTATACTATTTTCAGATGAAAATATTGAGTATCCCCGGACCTAACTCTCTTAATAAATTGCAAACTTTGACACCTTTAAAAATAACACTTACTGAAATAAATGAGTTATTTCTGCTCATTATTCAAGTTCTCAAAAAATTTTTATATATGCATTGATTTTGGTATGAAAATACTTCTTTCGACATTTCCTAACCAGGTGCCAGCGTGATGTAAAGAGTTGTTTACAAAATGTGTCCTAATGATTTGCCATTTCTTGACAAATCAATAAATCATCTGTGCAGAGTTGGCTCTGATTGAGATTAAATAATGAATAAAAATTATATACATATAAATTTTCTTTATTATGAAGCTTATTCTTGGAAGGAAATTGGGTCGGTAAGAACCCTGGGGTAGGGTGGGATTTATCTGAACACAGAGAAGACAGAAAAGAATTATGTGCGCTGCTGTATGGAATTTTGGCTGGTGTTCAGAACTGAGAAATGGATGCTACCACCCTCACCGGGGCTGGCGTCACCTGATGTTTCATAATACTTATACAGAGAATGGTGTGCTGTTAAAATACTCACACACGTGCCATATTACAGGGTCCTTGCAATAGCCCTACAAGATAAGCAGGGCTGGGGGTAGTAACCCCATGGGAGTGGACAGAGGCCCCCAGGACCGAAGCCCTTTGCCTACAGGCCTGCCCCCAGTCACGACAGCACAAAGGTGCCAGGCAGCACACCAGCCGCTTTGCACAAGCTGCCGTCAGTCTTCCGGATAAACCCGGAGGAGGGTATTTTTACTACTGTCCTACAGATATGGAAACAGAGGCTCAGAGAACTCAAGTTCAAGGTCACAGAGCTGGGTAAGTGGCAAGACTGGGGTTTGAACTAGTCAGGCAGATCTATAGCACATGTTGCCCAAAGTCCATTTGAGAAGTTTTTTTTCCCCCTCTCCGGGACAGCATCGAGAGACTGGGAAATGACATTCCGGGTCAAAAGAGCACGGGATGAAACTTTGGCAGAGTCTAAAGGGCCCTGTCACTGACACCAGGGCTGCACCTCTTCCACGCATACTGTGTTCTGTGCCTTCAGAGTATCCTTGCCTCATTTGGTTTTCACAGTTCCCTAGAGAAGCATGCAGCAGAGGGCTGGCTACCTCCATTTTATAGGTATGTGAGGCTCAGAGAGGTCAAGTGATTTGCTCAAAGTCACACAGGACAATACATGTGCACTTATGCCAACATCATCAGACAAGGTGATCACAGGAGGTGGGCCTGGGGACTAAACGGGGCAGACCAAGGCACTGACCTTTCCTGAGATGGTCTTGATCTGCTTAGAGCTCAGGGGCTCGAAGTCCACGCCGATGTAGCCTTCCATGGCAGCAAGCAGATTCTTCCGGAGGCAGCGAGATGAGTTGGCTTCCGTGTGCACCTGGTCCCACCAGGAAGGCTCGTACCAGCCTGGGATGATCCACTGGTACTTACTCCCGTACATGTTCTCCTCGTAGGCCTGCAACAGATGGGGCGACTATGAAGGCACCAAGAGTGGAACACTGTTTGGGGCTCTCTGCCCTGTGAGAAAGGTGGAGTGAAGTCAGGCTTCCTCTTACTGAGGATTTATTACATTTTTTATTACTTGCTTGGCTTCCTTCTTGTCATTTCTCAAAGTGTCCAAGGTATTTTATGGACAACATGTATAATAAAATAATAAACACTGAATAAAAATTAAAACATAGGGGCCTGGGAAAATATAAATTATAATATGTTTACAGGCGGTAAAGGGAACCGAACACAGACAAGCAAACCAAAGCTTCCAACACTCTACATAATTGAGCTGCAAATTGCACTGTGAATTTCCTGGAAGCCCAAGAGAAAAGGACAATAAGATTATTTATATAATTTACATTATCAATAAAGAGAAAACATACCAACACTTTGGAGAAACAAAGTGTTTTCCAGTCTTTAACCCTCAAAAAATGCCTCATGGGGAAGATACCGTCAAATTAGCCAGCCTGGTATCAGCATTGCCTCTACAACAGATTCATAAAGCTGGTTTTTGTAAAGATCTTTACTAAAAGCTAAGGTCATGTCTCAAAACACAACCCAGGGGGAGCAATTTTCAAGGGGCCACGACAGTTTAATCTAAGGGTGCAGCTCACATAAGATGCCCCTTGCTTGGCAAGCTGAGAAGTCTCTCTGAATCTTTACCCAAAGGACAGTGTGAATAAATTCAGACCTTAAGAAAAATGTCCCTACATTTGTGTGCTTTACATGCATCTTATTTGATTGTCACCCACATTCCCCCTGGGAGGTAGTCAGGGTAGAGTTTGGCATTCTCATTCTAGAAATGACAAAACTGAAAATCAGAAAGGGAAAGTAACTTTTCCAAAGTCCCACAGCCCGGGAGAAAAGGCAGGCCCGGATCTAGGTCTGTTGACTTTAAGGCCACGAAGCCACACTGCCTGGCCCCCATTTAAATAAAATAGTCATCAGAATGTTCTAATGTACCTCTATTTGGCTTTGATTCTTATTATAATTATCTTATATCAGGAGAAGCATGCTTTTTGATAGCTTAGATGCACACAGAAAAATTCTATTTTGTAGGATTGTCATGTTCCATTAAAATTGGGTCCAGAAAAAAGTTTCTAGGTAGTGGTCATGTTCCCATCAGTAATCACAATTCCCAGAAGTGACTGCAGAGAGCAGTGGCGGATGGAGATGCCCCCTACACCCCGTGTTGGCCTGTACACATTCTAAAATGCAAACCTTAAGCAATCTTTCAGTTCGTCCTGGGGAGCCACCATGCTGGGAAACCCTTGCTGTGGTGCCCTTTCTGTTCCTTGCCTGGTGCAGGGCCAGGGCAAGCAACTGGGAGGATGCAGAGAGAGGAGCCCGAGAGATTGCTTTGGCCCCCGGTAAGGTCCAGCCTGCCCCATACTTAGGCTTAAGGAGGCTAAGCCAGGTCTGTCCACAGGAAGGTTAGAGAAAAGTCACTGTCAAGGCTAGAAGCCAGAGGGGTACTCTCCCCACCCGCAGGTCTGGGGAGGCGACTCCTCTAAAAGTCCCTTAACATCTGAGCCAGCCCAGCCTGCGCTGTGGAGCATCTCACTGGGGTTCACGTGAGTTAGAAGATTTGTTCCCTGACTTAAGCTCTGACCCCATCTCTGTGGCCTCCCCCCAGCGGTTCACTGAAGCCTCTAGAGATTAAACTCTGTTTAACAAAAGACCCCTCAACTGTCTCAAGGCAGTGATCACACTGCCTCTTCCCTAGACTCCTCCAATGATAGGGGGCCTTCACCTCTCTCATTTTAGACACTATACTCCTCATAATACCTCAGATCATAGTCATTTTTCCAGCAAGTATTATACATTAAAATTGCCCCAACCAAAATTGTTGTGGAAAACACAGAGGACCCTCATATTTTAATTCCCTAAGAAAAATCTCAGTTTAAGAAAATCATGCATCTTCTGGGTTTTCCTTTAACACTGTGGTCCCCAACGCCCGGGCCATGGACTGGTTCATGGCTTGTTAGGAACAGGGCTGCACAGCAGGCGGCGAGCCAAGCTTCATCTGTATTTACAGCAGCTCCCCATTGCTGGCATGCCACCTGAGCCCCGCCCCTGCCCCATTCCCCATCCCCGAGCCCCCAGCCCTTCCCCCACCCTGTCTGTAGAAAAATTGTCTTCCATGTAACTGGTTCCTGGTGCCAAAAAGGTTGGGGGCCGCTGCTCCAATGAATGAGATTTAGGCCACAGAAACTTTTTTTTTAAGTAAAGATAACACCAGATCCTGGCTGGGGACAAAACTTTTGAATAAAAGGGTCATCATAATCTCAGGTCATTTAATCAATGGCAGAACCTGTGAGGCTTCACAACCCTCATCTTTTACCAACAGAGGAGATCCTACAAATATTGAGCCCTTGTTAATGTGCTTGGCCACTTTTATATATTGTTTTATTCTTACAACAATCCTATGAGGATTGTGCTATTATCTCAATTTTATAGATGAAGAAATTCAGGATCAGGGATTGAGGGATTTGTCCAAATACATACAGCTAGTAAGTCAAAGAGACAAGACTCAAAGCCTAGTTTTTAATTTTCTCTGCTTTTCTTAGCAAAACAAAACAGAAAAAAAAAAAACTTTTTGGAAGCTTTCTCAGTTTTAAAGAGTTACAGCAAGAAGATAGTACCACTTATGAGGAAGTGGGGCCACCCTACCTTCCTAATAAGGAGTCAAAAGATGCAGAGTGAGGATATAGAAAGGCCTTCTGACCAGACAGTAAGACTGAAAATTATTTGTGTGATAATTAAAACCACCTGATAATTAAGAGGCAGCACTGAGCGGGAAGTTTGGAGCAGAAAGTTAGATCGCCCATGACAGTTCTACGACTTGCTATTGTCCTGTTGTGAGCTGTTTTTCCAGAAAACAGAAGCTTAGTCCATTTGAATGAAAACACATTTTGTTTAGAACATTAGTCAATTTTGATGAAGATAAAACTTTTTCTAAAATGGCTTCTGACTTTTTCGGAAAGAAAAAAAGAATACAGTCCTGACGCTGTGGCTCCCGCCTATAATCGTAGCACTTTGGGAGGATCATTTGAGGCTAGGAGTTCAAGACCAGCCTGGGAAACATAGCAAGACCCCCATCTCTGCAAAAAACAGAAAAATTAGCTGTGTACGGTGGTGTGCCCCTGTAGTCCCAGCCACTTGGGAGGCTGAGGCAGGATGATTGCTTGCACCCAGGAGATCAAGGTTGCAGTGAGCTATGATGACACCACTTCACTCTAGCCCAGGCAATAGAGTAAGACCCTGTCTCAAAAAAATTAAAAAATAAATAAAACAGTCAAGCAGCACTAGATTCTCTGCCACATGCCCGCTGAGTAACTCTGGCTCACACCACCTTTGGGTTTCATTTTCTCATCAATAGACTGGAAAGCACAGCCTGCCTCACTGGGTTGATTTAAGAATTAAATGAGATCATTTGTGCACCATGCCTGGCAAACACCATATTCAAGAACTTTATAGCTGCCCCTTCTTGTTCCTTCCTCCTTTAGGTAACTCTTCCAGACATCAGTTGCTGTTATGGGCCATGCATGATGATGCTCTTGGGCTTAGAGAACACTGCCCCAAACATCAAATGACCCCAGACAGTTGTACATAGAGTTTTGGGTCCACTCTTTTGTCTCCTTTCTAGCGGTCAGATCTAGACTGTCATTTTCATTGTCATCAAGTCCCTCTCCTCACTCCGAATTTGCTGCTTTTAAACTGCTATGGGCTTGGAAAGTAGGGAGCCTGGATTGCTAAGCATATGTTAGAGCAAAAGTAAATAGGCCTTGAGTGAGGGTCTAAAAGGCTCTCCCGCAAGGGAGTTAGAGTGGGCTTAGATATATCACCCACCGTCTAACACAACTGCGGAGATGCCTGTGGGCCTCCTTTCTGGTATTCCCAAGGTCAGAAGCGCTGATACTTTTGGGCACGTGAGCTCTAAGCAGGTACTGGGATGCTTCTCTGTCTCCTCTGCCACATGGAGAGTTCCTGGAAGATGGGGCCATGCCAGCTCTCCCCTGGGTCCCTAGTGCTCACTACAGTGCCTGGTATACAGAAGGCACTCCATAATGGTTGTGGAGTGCCCGAGTGAATGTATTTCTGGTTTGCTTGGTTGCCTTGGCTTTCATTTTCTCTGCCTCTGGCAGAACTATGCTCTCAGAACCTGTGGCTGCCAAACAGGTCCCACAGGTGCTGGTGGGTGGTCCTGAGCTCACGTTCTTCAGCCCCATGGACCTCTTTGGTTCTTATTAGCTACAGGCATGTAACCATGACATGAATTTGAAAAAAGATCCAATCTCCTCTTTTTACTTATTAAGTTTCTTTTTGCATTCTCCTCTCCCCATACAAGAAGGACATCTCCTTTTATATTAAGGGTCACAATAGCAATTGTGATAAAACCTAACCTCAGTGAAGCAGTGAACACTTGGGACAATGCTCCCCCTATGGTGGCTTCATTTAAGCCTCTCGACAACCCCGTGAGGCCTATAAGGCAGAGATCATTGCTTCCATTTTAGAGATGAGGCAGCTGGGGACCAGAGATGTGAAGTGACCTGCCTGAGGTCACACAGCCAGCAGAGCTAAAACCAGAACCCATATCAGAGTGGTTGAGAATTTAGAATGGATCACCGAGGATGGAGGAGAAGACAAGAGCGACATGCCATGCTCATACTGTGCTAGAGCCAAAATGAACATTTTGCCACAGGGCTATAAATAGGCCTTGCATTTGCTGGCGTCTGCTCTCCCATTGGGTGGCAGTTGCAATCTCGAGAGCACAGCAACACGCTGTAAAGTTTGCACTGCAGCATTTGCGTGGCAAAGACACGGTTGTTTCCATCTGGCCTGTGGTCTGTCCCGACAGGGGCAAGAAGGCTCTCTGGGGGGTCCCTGCCCTGAACAGCCCCTCCCTCCATCACACCTCAGTCTTGATACAGCGTGAAGACATCGAGCAGAGTCTCCTTGGAACCTTCTGGACCCGTCAGAAGAACTCCTTCCCAACCAGGCAAGATTGTATGTCCTCAAAAGCAGATTCCAGCCAAGGGTTTGGCACATGGACCCAAAATACAACCAAAACCCCCTGAGAAATTCCTTAATGAGTGAAGCAGCCAGCAAAGGGTCTAAGGGAAACCCCATTGCAAAGTACCGTAGGTCTGACAAGAGTGAAGAGGAAAGCGGGAGGGGAAGGTGGGTGGTGCCCCTATGCCATGTGGAAGGCAGGCTACCTGGGGTTTGGGTCAAAAAGAAGACAGCCGTGCCATCTGTCCTCAAGTGGAAACCATGGCTGGAAAAGTCACTGGGAAAACTGTCCCAGCGCCTGGCACAGAGTGAAGTCACAGCCATGCCTGGGCTTTGCTTTGGCTTGGATCAGAACATGAGGTTCATCTGCATTTCTTGCAAACGGGAGGTGGCCAGGGCTTAGTGTGGCATCTTCGAGGATCATTTTTATTAATTTATTTTCCCTGTAGTTATTTGTTTTCCTCATTTGGTCAACTCCAGCCACCCACCATGCACCAGCTCCTCGCAAGGCTCTGGGGATATGGAGGGGACAACCTAGTTTCTTTCCTGCAAGAAAGCTTGTTCTCCAGTTTGGGGCATTATTTTCCTTCTTAAAATGGGCTATTTCAGGACCCTAGGTAGTGAGGAGCAAGATTTGTAAGTTTTTAGAGTAAAATTATTAAATCTACTCGTACTACATTTTCAATTTTTCTTATATTCCTCCTTCTATTTTAATGTGGAAAGACCTCTTGCTACTCTTCACTGAGACAAAGAATGCTCAATGCAATTCTGTGAGACCCACCAGCAAACTCGCCAGCCCAGCAGTGGCTCCTTCCATCTCCAGACACCTGAGATCTTATATAAACAAACAAAAAAGATTGCTGACGTTTACCAAGGTCTCATAGTACCCGTGCATCAGGTACTGTGCAAAGGGTTCCTGCTCATTGAATCCTCACAGCAATCCTGTGAGATAAATGTTATCATCCCCATTTTATGGATGACAAAACCGAGGTCCAGAGAGTATAAATAGCCTGCCCAGCTTCAGTACCAAGCAGCACAGCAGGGATTCAAGCCCAAGCTGACTGGTTCCTGAGTGCCAAGCTCCATCCAAGGTCTCCTGCAAGGTCAGCCTCATAGCCTCTCCCTCCTTCCAGCTGAATCAGAAGATGATCAGACGATCAGGCAGTTCTCATCTTGCTCCTGAGCCTTCGGATGAAATAATCCCGTGAGACTGTGGCTTTCAGCCACTGCTCTGTCCTCGCCCCTGGTCTCTTTTCAGTTCCTGCACCTGTCCTGAAACGGCACCAGGAGCTGGGCAGGGCACCCCAGGTGGGATTTCCCCAGCAGAGAGCAAAGGGACCACCCTGCCCTGGGTGTGGACATGGAGTCTCAGGTCACTCTCTGTCACTGTGCTAACCCTGGTGACCTCAGTCACCAGACTCTATAGTAAACTGGGGGTCAACTGAGATATTCAAAGTCACTTTTCTTCTCAACACACACTACTCCCCAGCCACACCTCTACCACCTTGGACTTCAGTAGCTGGATTTGTTCTAATATATCTTATATTAGAATCATTAATCTCCTTGGATTTCATCAAATATTCCAACCTGTTAAAGTTCTTTGAACCCTGGCTCTGTCATCTAACGTATTTCATGACTTCTAAAATTCCTACAAACCTATTTATAACTTCATCCAGGTTATACTGACAAAAAGATCAAAGAGGACAGAGATCTGTGGCCCATCACTGGAGAATACACCTAGAATAACCTCAGTCTGAAGAGAAGCTTCTTGGGTAGACAATGACTCACCCAATGGGGCTCTCATTCTGCTGAATTTTCTCCTGAATGGGGTGGAGGATTAGGAGCTGGGGCATCAAAATGGAAACAGAGTTACTTCCTGTGTTAGAGCCCTTATATATAACTTAAGTGAGAAATCATACGGAGAAAACCTCTTTTTTTTAGATTAAATTGAAATCAGGTGAAGGAGGATTGAGCCTGGGCTGTGCCATGAATTGGCTGGGGGCTGCTGGACAAGCCCCTTTGCCTCTCCGGCCTCGGTTTCCTCATCTGTAAAACTTCATAATCATAGCTGCTCATGGTTATTGAAAAGATAAAATGAGGTAAGGTATAAAGAAGTGCTTTGTCACCTACCACATACTAGACAGCTGCCAAGGATTCGGGGGTAGATACTGGACAGTAGACAGTTGTCCTAAACCTAAGATTCTGAGCCCTCCCTACAGGCCCAGAGGGGAACCGAGTCACTTCAGTCTCGCCCTGATTTCTGGACACTTATTTCTGGCTACTATCTCTGCGCGGTGCTCACAGCTGGGCTCTGTTGCACAGAACTAAACTGGGGTACATAGAATTAGCTGACCAGGCTGAGACAACAGGTTAGAGGGGGGTTTGGTGAGTCAAGGTCCCTGGCTCCTCCTGTGACTGCACCGTCCTGAGCCCTGGGATTTTAACTCCTTGAAGAGAGGAAAGAAGAGTGAGCACCACGCCTCTGCTTCCAGGAACCCAGGCCCCATCCTAGGATCCCGCTCACAGACCAACCAGCGAGAATGAGCCTGAGACAAAGCTCCGTGAACCTTCCCAAAGACAAAACAGATATGACGGTTTTACTTACACAACAGAACACTTTTGCTGCCATGTGCTGGTCAAACTGGCCAAGGATGATCCGCACGTCATTCCCCTGTGGACAGAAGGACACGCATGTGAAGGTGAGCGGATGATCAGCACACAGTGCGGGGTTCAAGGCCACGGACAGAGAACACTCCTGTGCCCCTGGCTCCCAGGTGAGAGTGCTGCCTGGGCAGGTGGGCAGGGCAGAACCTCACCCCCAGCCCAGCCCAGCCTGGATTCTCTGGCCCTCTCTGGGGCCAGCTTCCCCTTGGCTCCTACAGCCGGCCCTCCCTGGTCTCACTGGCAAGCTGCAGGGCAAACCGCAGGGCAAGCCTACACAGGCCCGAGGCTGAAGCTGATCACACTGAGGGGCCTTGGACTCTCCCCTGTTCTCTTCCAACAAGAGCAGGCAAACCCTGCAGTGCACAGAAACATTAGCTAATCTTATTCCTCACTTTACATATAGGGAAACTGAGGCCAGAGGAGGAAAAGGAGCTTGTAAAGTCCCCTGGGGAGTTGGGGGCAGAGATAAGACCCCAGCCAACCATACTGTCCCCATAGTGTTCCAGACTTTTCTACTTCTTAACAATCGACCCCTCAAGGCATTTCCGGAGCCCACAGAGCCTCCCAATGAAATGGTTTCAGAGTTTCAAGCTTTGAGCTTTGTTCAAATTTCAGCTCCACCAACAACCCTCGGGTGGCCACAGGCAGCTCCTCTTCCATCTCAGCCTCAATTGCCTCATCTGTAAAATGGGGAGAATGGTAGTACTTACCTCACAGGATTGTTGGGAGAACAAAGTGAAATAATCCTTGTAAAGTTCTTAACTCAGTGCCTATTTCTAAGGAAAACCTACATTTGAAAGTCCCCTACATTCATTATGTCAGTGTGGTTAAAAGGTATACACTGTACAACAGCCCCTGTGACTCATTCATTCATTCAACAAACATTTACTGAGCGCCTGCCTGAGGCTCTCCTGGGGCACTGGGATCTGGGCTGGGCCCTGCCCCACAGAGAGGAACGGGCCAAAGAAGGCTGCAGGGCAGCCGCCAGGACACCAGCCAGCCCCTGGGCCACACAGATGCTCCCCACCCCAGCGGCTCCTGCCCTCCAGAGTGGGGCCCAGCCTCGCAGGTGGTGCCACCTTCCTGCTGCTCAGCCACCCCCTCCAGCAGGCCTCAAGGCCCTTTGATACACAGAGAAGAAAAACATGCCTTTACAGATCAGTTTTTAGCATCTTTTAAAATTGGAAAGTGCTGACTGCGAGGCCATTTTACTCATCATGTACTTTAGCAAAATAAAGAAGGCCTGGATTCTAAAATCATCCTTCGTTTGCAAGCAAGAATGGAAAGAAGAAGAAGAAAAAAACCCACTTGCTCTGAAAGGACTTTGAAAGATCGTTAACAGAGCAGTTGCAGGAAGGCAAGCCTTTGTCATCACCAGTCTGCAATGCTATAAAAAGTTCTAAGCTGCTTCCGTTCTGTGGACATGCTCCCAGGCATGCTCCTGCGTCTTTCTGCTTGTTTGCTGAAATCTTTCAGCATTTCTTGCTGCTACCAGTAACTATCCACCCAGCCAGGCAGCTGGCAAACACTTACTGAGCATCTACTTTGTGCCAAGTCCTGTGTTGCTAAGCATGGTATGATAGAAACAGCTTATTGGATTTTGGAGTCAAAGAATCCTGGGTTCAAATCCCAGCTCCACCTCAAACTAGCTGAAAACCCTGGGTCTTAATCTCCTGGAGTGGCCCCAATTTCTTCATCTCTGAAATAGGGATAATCCTACCTACCTCGCCCAGCAGTTGTCAGATTCATCCCAGTGAAATCCACCCGATGTTCTCCCCTGGCCTCCCACCTCCCTGGTCGCCCTGCTCAGCCAGCTTGGCACCAGCCCCTCATCTCCTGCCCATCCCTAAAGGCTGGTGCTCTGCCCTCAGCCTTTGCTCCTCCCACTCTGTGGGCAACCTCACTCCTCACTCCAGCCACAACTGCCCTCTGTGTGCTGTGTGCTGCAAACCTCTTTCCCCAGCCTAGAATTTCTCTGGTTGCCCACTGGATGGGCAACCAGAGAATCTGGTCGGATTCTGTCTGGCACCTCCAGCGCAACACATCCCAAGCTGAAGTCATCAGCTGTCCCAGCAAGGCCCTTCCTCCTCCTGCGTTTCCCATACTGAGAATGGTATCGCCAGCCTCCACTCCCCACATCCGAGACTTGGGAGTCATCACAGATCTACTCCTCTCCTTCACCCCACCATGCCTGGGGGATGGCTCTGTCTGCTCACTGGCTCCTGAACCATCCCCGTCTCTCCAGCGCCTGGCCCTGGGCTTAGTCACCATCATCCCCTGCTCAGTGAGCAGCCCAGCCTCCCAAATGGACCCTTTCATCCTGCCACTCCACCCATCTCCACAGAGCAGACAAAGGGACCATTCCAAGATTCAAGTCTGATTTGTGAAATCTTTCCATGGCGCCCTGAGGCTTACAGATCAAACTCTTACTGGTTACCAACTGATTCCTGCACAATTCTCTACATTTCCCACTATTGCTCCATGGAAGCGAGAACGAACTACCTGCAGTTCCCTGAAACAGGACTGCCATCCATCCACTTGTTCATTTATTCATTCACTCATATTCTCACTCTGCCCTGCCTTCTTTCTGAGGCTTACCCATCCAGACTGCCCTGCCCTGACCGTCCCACTCACTCTGCCTGCACCGCTAACACCACCCTTCCTGCCTTAGCTCAGGATCCTCTGCTCCAAGAATCCATCTCTCTGAGCCACCAGGTGTGGTGGCCATTTCCCCCTGTGTGGGCCTGGAACACACTGCACTTCCTTCCAACCTGGCACAAGTCACTCACTTCCCTACAGGACTAAGGGTAACCTGACTTACCTCTGGCTTCCCAGCTCCCAGCAAGGGCATGGCACGCACGTCAATAAGTATGTGTTGAATGCATGATGAAGTGAATGCATGATGAAAGCATGCAGTGAAGGCATGCTGTGTGCAGCACCACACACAATGCCTGGCCACACTGCTGATTCTGTAGCTGGTAGCCATTATCATCACTGTGCTAAATATCCTGCTCCCCCTGGGGTCTACGCACTGCTTGGGTTCACCATGTCCATTTCGTGAGTAGACTGAGGGACCCACATCTTCATGGCAGACCACCTGACTGCCTGATGACAGATGAACAATCAGCTCTGCCACTTGTGGACCATTTAGTGCCTCCATTACCATGACAACCAAGTTGCAAGGACCACTTGGTTCTGTGCTCCCAGGCTGTAAGGTTTGGATGGGGCCTAAGGGATCACCCATCCAGTCGACCCCTTCCCTGAGAGGCATGAGGCTTCCTCCCAGGCTGCACAGCACCCTAGAGTCAGCCCTTCCTGGGTGCCTCCTGCCCATCAAGGGCCCTGGAGAAAGACCCTATGCAGAGCTAGGTGGTGCCGACGCAGGAAGCTGCTCACACCCACTCTGCTTCTAGATGGTGAGTAAGACGGGGCGAGATGCTTCAAAGCCTAGGAGGAAAGAGGAAAGGCCAACATGAGAGCAGCCAGAGCCTGGAATTGGGGTGGGGAGAGGCCAAAGGGAGGTGACACCAGGCCAGGGTCCTTGGCAGCGGCCCTTGAGAGCAGTACAAGGAGTTTGAGGTGCCTCCCAAGCTGGGGTATGTGTGGTCCAGGGCATGAGGAGGTATCCTGAGGGTACGAAATGCACAGATATACCTCAGTGTTTCTTCTGGGGTAGCAACTTACTGGAAGATCCAGGGGTTAAGTTTTTATACACATGAGCATGCACTCACAAAAGTTCCAGGATCCACTTTTCAATGTTGCATAACTTGTATCTTTTCCAGAACGTCCAGAGATTGGAAAGAAAAAATTGGGATTAGCATGGCCCATGCTTCTGGCCAAGCTTCCCGCCTCCCTGCCAGGGGTATGAGCCTATCTCCTGTGCTGAAAGGGTGTGGGCAGTTTTGGGAGTACTAGAGGGTAGACAGGGAGAGCCCTGAATGTCTCTGAGGATGAGAGTGACAGAACAGAGCTGTGGTATAAGAGGGAAAGGGGAATGTGGCAGAGGACAGAGGATTTTCCAGACTAGAGTCTGGACTCGCCTCTGCAGGGGCCACCTGGAGTGGAACTAGATGACACAGAGTGGGACAAATGAGAAGGCAAGGTCTAGGGTTGGAGCCCCATGTTCACACCCTCAAGAGGCCACTCCACTAGGAAAGGGGCAAACATGGAAGGAAACAGCCATGGGGGAGGGGAGAGGGAACAAGGAGGGGTGCTGAGCCCAAACCCCCCCCACAACCACAGAACGAGTGAGGCAGAAGACCCCCTAAACTCGCTCTGGAGAGGAGCCCAGTGCTGCCCACACCCTGGATAGATTTCCTTTCTCTTTCTTGGCCCCCTCTCATTCATTGTCTAGAAACACTTTGTCTCTTTATCTCTGGACTTCTTAAAAGGAGCTAAAATCACACACACATGCACACAAGGAATGACCTGATTCAAAGAACTAGTGATCTTCCAAGTGATCCTAACACAGTATGATAAAAATAAAGAATGATTCTTGAGCTCTTTCTAGCTGTTGTGCTAGGCTGTGCATTGGTCTTCCCCCCCCAATCCCCGCCCAGGACGTAGCTCTATTATTGTGCTCACCTTGGAAAGATTCATGAGCATATCAAGCCCAGAGAATGAAGCAACTTTCCCAGGTGCAGTGGACGCCCTTGGTCCTGCCAGACCCCCTCCTAGAGGCAGGTGCACCGCCCCCAGCTGCAGTGTGAGCAGGCTGCTGGCAGTTCGCTCCCTTCCCTGGAGAACTGCCCTCTGCTAAGGGGAGCTTCCTGGCCTTGGGGGCCAGGCCAAGCCCCACACCCCTCAGACAGCAGCCAGTGACTGACTCACATGGGTAGAAAATTTCAGCCCAGCTGCTGAAAGGTGGGACCAGCTCCACAGTGTCATCTATGCTCCAGAAAACCCTGGGAGGCCTGGTTAAACTCGTCTCCAGCCAGCTTTGTGGCCCAGCTCCCTGCATCCCTGCCTTATCCTGCTTCCCTCCCCTGCTCCCGAGAGCACTCCCTC